ACACACTGCCAACAAGCCTCACTGTCAGCTCTCACGCAGCTCTACGAGTTCATGGGAAGGGGTTAGAGTTTGTGTGTGTGTTACTCGCTGTTAGGGGTGACACAGGCCAGGTTTACTAGGGTCAAGCATTGACCAGTGGGTCACACAGAGGCTAACTTTGCGGGTGATAATGTGTCCACTCTCACCTCTCCACCATCTTGATTCCCCAGCCTGCTGTGTGTGTCAGTGATGAATCCACCGTGTTTAGAGGCATTAAATTAGTCGGCCACTGGGAGAGAGGAGTGGATAACTCTGGCTTGTGTCCAGTCAGATCGGGTGGGGAGGGTCACAGCTGATTTACTGGCTTCCCTGTGTAATAGCTGGCAGGATAGCAAGAGGCCGAATTTGTTGTTGCCTACTTTGGATGCCCCCTTCTACCCAGCTCGGGCAGATGTCGCAATCATGCATGCGGGATGGGCGTGATGAACGGCGGCGAGTGGAGGAAAAGTGATCGGAGCGCAAAGCAATTCATGCTGAACCTGCCAGCTCTGCTGGCACACCTTAACTCAGCTGGCAGACCCGCTTTGCGTGGCAACGAGAGAATAATGGCGCATTCTGACAATGCCACTGGCCCTGCTGACACAAAGGGGAGCCCCTGTCCCCTGCCTCTGGTAATGAAGAATGAATAGTTAGCTTATTGTCTACTCATCCTCTGTGTCCCTTTGCTCACAGTCTTGTACTCTCTCTACCTGATTGAAGTTTAATCACTGTGTTCTAACGCACTCCATGGATTATTATATAGGTGGAATGACTGTTTAGTGAATAGTGTGAATCATTGCGGGGGAGTGGGATGAGGGCGGGAGGAATAAATATATAAACTCCAGAGCAGTCAGGATGAATTGTGCATTGGCTCGTACAATGTCATGTCTCAGATCTCTGCTTCTTGTTCGTACTTAGCCATTCTGTGATTCTGATTATATCAAAAATACAAAGACAACTGACATCTACCAACCAGAGTACCATGTTTTCACATCCACTCCAGTACAGACATATGCATAAAGCAAATACAGATATAGTCAGCCAAGTACAGGTTTTAGATAGTAAGTTAAACTAGATCTCACATGTGGATCATGGTTCAAAGGATTTGAGTTTTCAGATCCAGTGTCCAAGAGCACAAAGCATTCCCTGTAATAAAATGTATAATATACTGTTGTATACAAATATATATTTAAAGGATTCTACCAACAAGAGTTGCCTGTATCTAAAGATTGATATATCTTATTGCTCTGTGTCATACAGTGGTGGAAGCAGTATTCAGATCCTTTACTGAAGTAAAAGTACCAAGACAGGAATATAAAAATATTCCAAGTCCTGCATAAAGTAAAAGTACACAAGTATTAGCAGCAAAAAAGTAGGTTTGGTCGCTCTGACTGATATAATATATATGACATGATTAAATGATTAATGCTGATGCATCAGTGTGTCAGCAGCATGTTACTGTTGTAGCTGCTGGAGGAGTTAGTTTGAACTACTTGAAATACAGTTTTATTTACCACCAGATAAACCTGAAGGGTCGTCACATGATTGACAGAGTTCGGATTCTCAAATCTGTTTCAGTTTTTGAACTTGTTCTCTAAGCTTTTGTTTTTTGGTGAGATATTGTGAAGAAGTATGAAGTAGCATAAAATAAGAATACTCAAATGGTACCTCAGAACAGTACTTGAGTAAATGTACTTAGTTACTTTTCACCACTGGTGCCATAGAATTACATGAATTTCCCCTATGGGATGAATAAAGTATCTATCTATCTAGAGCTACGTTATTGTCCAAAAACAATTAAAAACACATAAGTGAGCCACACTGTTCCTTCATTACCATGAACACATATTGTAGTTTATTTTGACTCAATCCCACATATGCCGTCCTGTTGCACATTTATTAATCCACACCTGACTATAGTTCCCAACAAATATATAATTAATTCCTGTTTGGGCAACATTTGCCAAAAACTACAGTGCCCCGCTGTTTTATGAAAATGTAACGTTTTTTTTTTTTTTTTTTTTTTTTTTTTTGCAACCAGGTTTTAAAGATTCACATCTTCAGTAGAAATGAATGGGCTTGGGGCTGAGGAGATGGGATTCCATGGGCTATAAATATAGAATAATGCTCCTCTTTATCTTTTAATCAGCTTTGTATTGGGCCAAGAATGAAGCTTTACTGTCTTTAATAAATTGAATATTTATTTTATGTTAAACCTTTGCAGGGCAATTTTAATTGAATGTGTTTTTTTTCTGAGGGTTTCTCTTCTAACCGTTGACTTGGGAAACTCCTCTGTGTTTGATATGCATTGTGAGGAATGGTATGATGCTGAGTGTGGGTGTCTTAGTGTTTAAGTTGGGCACAGTGGATCGCTTCCATCTGTTGACTGGACCAGAGACAGAAGGCCTGAATGTGTGTGTGTCTTTGCTCTTTGAAGTGGGACAGATTGCTTTAACCTCTCTTCTAAGGAGAGCAGCTGGAATAGAGAGCTCCTTTAAACAGCCGCTTCCTCCTTCGACAGTCACGAGATTATCCTCCATTGATGCACAAAGCCAGCGCCTTCCTCGGCAACCTCTCATCCCAGCCCCCCGGCCTCTGGCCCTCTGCAAACACCCAGTGTTGACCTGTGACCCATAATGCAGAGATGTATTACCAAGTCACTTTGCAGGATCAGTCTTATCTCCCCCAAAGGAGTGAAGACATCCCTACTGTCTCCTGAACCATAGCTGTCTCTCCTGACAGCTGCTGGTTAATATTTTCCCATTGCCTGCCTACCCCACTCCCTTTCTCAGACTAATTGGCATGTATCAAATAAGGAGCCAATTGCAGTCAAATGAATTATGGTAATATCATTTAGGGTGGTCAGTGAGAGCGTGTCTACATGTAATGTGCTTAGGAGGTAGGAACTTTGAAGGGGGACAACTGTTCTGCACAAGCACCTGGGCTCTGCTGGCAGTAGCAAGTAGACATCACTACACTGATATAGTCTTAAGTGACAGCATGAGGTTCTCATTTTCCCCCATCTAAGTGTTTGGTGGACAGAGCTTATGACAGAGATGCTGGGATGAGCCAAGGGCTGGGGTTATATGTGTGTTTGAAGAGGAGGATGTTTTTCACAGAGGACGACAGTAGGAGAGCTGTGATCAATGAACCACCACCAACTGCACTGACACACTGATTGATCAATCAGTGAACTTATGAACGGATCAATCAGACACATGTCAGCATCTAGCAGTATGCAAAGCGTCCAGGATATCCCAAGGACTGGCCGTGCGTTTGATGTGCAAATCTGCAGATGGAATCATTAGTTTCCTTGAAGCTAAAACACTTTAATTTAGTGTTTTCATTCTTGGAAAGAGATTTTTCCTTCAAGAAAAGGCAGCATTAGCTAATTATCTTTTCTTTTTTTTTAACCTAACCTTATTGCAGTGCCAATAAGGTTACAAGGCACATGCTCACCCAAATCTGTGGTTCAGTTATCTCACTGAGATTGACATCAGCCCACTCTTGTCTAAGTAGAAGACACATGCATATGTATTTCCATATGCTTCTTCATGTAGGTGTACCACTGCCAAACGAGGACAAACTCATGTTTAGTGATTACCTTTTTTTTTTAAATCCAGGGTTCGCTCACTGGATTATCAGAATCATTGGAACATGAAAGGAAGGGCTATTTCTATGCTTTAAATATTGATGCTCATTGTGCCAGTGAGCAGTGTGAGCGTCTGGCTTCAGTAGTAGCAGTGATGTGGTCAGGGATTTCAGCTTGACTGACTTTTGGATTTGCAAAGTAAACGACAGAAGGGAGCTCGCTTGGAAGAATTACAAGATCCCGATGCTTGTAGACTCCAGAAAACATTAAGATCCATTTGAAGAACATATTTTTTTTTAAATGTCAAACTCACAACCTTTTTAGACCTTCTGGACTTTTGTAGTTTTTGCTTCTATTTACTACTGAAATGAACAAATGTAGTGAACAGAAACATAACCAGATATGGTGTATTTGGTGCTAATCAGAGATGGTAAAAAATGACTTTTGAGTTGTCTTTGCTAGCTGTGGCTACAATGACTTTTTGACAGGGAAAGTATCTCTTGCCCTTCTCACTAGCTCCTTCTTTGGCCTATTCATTGCACAAAGCTGCTTAAGCGCACTTAAGCGCATTAGCATTTGGCTGCCAGGGGACCATATTGACCCTGCATTTGGATGGCCTAAATGAGTGAAAGATGGAGCGATTTGTTAGGGCTTTAGAAAGTTGCTTTTGGGGAGGGGGGTGAGCATGAAGGAATGGGGTTGAGGCAGTGGGGGGGGGGGGACGACAGAGAGTTGTTCCACTTTCTCTCAGGGCATGGTGTTTGTTCTAATCTGGTGTGCAGTTTCTTCGTGGCCGAAGCAGGACTGATTTGTGACATTTCAGTCTAAAGGGCCTTTTTCTGCTCGCTATATTGGCTTGACCCGATTATCTAATCTGTGCTTTGAATTTCAATCAGGTCACCCAGTCTCTGCCGTGTGGTATGGGAACCACTGGCTGAGGGATTATCTCATTCAACTGTCTTCAAACACAGATGGTCGAATGTTTAACTAATTGTTAAAAGAGTCCACAAAGGGGAATTTAACCATGCACACAGTCCATGGGGTCAGTACATAGACCCAGATAAAGAGAAGGGACAGTGAGGTGGTAGTTTGTGGGATGGTTCTTTAAAAATCATTCAAATGAATCACAGTGTACTGCACGGTGTTGGGTAATAGTTTGCTCCTAAAGCTTTATATACTACTAAATGATGTGATGGTGTGGGGGGTAGCAATACTTAAGTTACCTATGAACACCTGGGTGACGGGTAACACAGTTAAATAAATATAAATTAATAAATGATTTCCATTGTTAGTATCTTTGTTTATACTATGTTTTTCTTATTCTAATGAACACTCAACTTTTCTTCCTCTCTGATCACTCATTCTCTTCTTCTTCTTCTCTCACGTCCAGAGTCTCTGCTCCACTGCCACCATGCAGACAGTCAGAGCCGCCGACACCAATGAAGTCGACAAGCTAATATTCCGAGAAAGTGATAATGACCGAAAGGTAAGCTGCACTGCGCTAATGCTGCCTGTCACAATACTTTCTTGTCATAACTATGTTCAAATGAACAGAAATATATAAACTTCATTTAATAATATTGTCATCTTAAAACCTTTTTGTTAAATTTCAAATTTGCCTTAAGGCTTGGTCACACCATAAAATGGGACTACTTGCAAGGCTAGTTGGGGAACTACTGTAGCTGGGTAGTGGGTACAGAACTAACTGGTACACCACCCTCTTCCCCATAAATGTTAATTGTTTCATTCAGTAGGGAGAGTCTTTGATCTAGCTATCTTGGTAATGGTTTGTAAGCTCTGTTGCTGATGGGACAGTAAGTTCACACACTTGAAACCATTCAAGAGTGAGATTTGTACCTCTCACTGTGTCTCATATCTGTCTGAAAACTATTGCTCTGAATGTCAAGCTGATAAACTACATTAGTATCTTCTATTTCAGACCCTCCTGCTCTCCAGTGCAACATGGGCCTTTGGTCAATAGCGCAAAATTCTTGTGTCAAAGTTCATCAAAGTTGAGCTTGATGTGAAAGATTTACATGGTTTTACTGAACTGATTCACTGCAAATTTCCACCATTTTTAACACTGCATTTCTGGACTTGTAATGAATACTTATTATTTTCTGGTTCTACATTGTCTGTGCTGTCATATACCTTAAGTTGGGGTATTACAGGTTGTGTTAACATCTGATGTAAAGTGGTGTGATGCTTCAGTGAGACATGTAGAATTAACAGTGCTGTCTGCCACTGCAGCGCTCTGCTGTTCATTAGTGCTCTAATTACAAAGTGCAGTTCACATTACTATTGGTATTAATCAGAGGTCCATTTTTCTCTCACCTCTGATTCAGGTTGTTCTTCAGCTTGAAAAGAAGCTTTTTAATTATGTCAACCAGGACGTTTTCCGGGAAAACAATGGGACCTCAGTAAGTCACCCCTGTGCTTCCTAACCTTTATATATTCATTTACTCTTTTATATCTCATCTTATAGTTATTAATTAAAAATTTGATTTCTTTCCCTGACTATAGACTTTCTACTGTGTGGTAAAAACGGCAGCCATTTGCTTTGCTTTTCATATTTGGGTAGTGGGTACAAAAAGGGTAGTGTAAAAGTAAAATAAGCACATAGATATAGAAACAAGTCATATGCAGCTGCTGACCAGCGTTATGCAGATGTTTTAATTGATGTCCTCACATCACTTCGGCCCAACACACACTCTCTTTGTCGCTAGTGAGGGGCCAAATGTCTTTGGAATAACTTTTAAATGAGGCTGAGTATAGATAAGGGGAGTGTTAAGTGTCTGCAGAAGAAAAACACCCGGTACACACTTTCACTTTTATATGGCTATATATTACATTAAGTAGTTCAAAGTTGGACCTTGTTAAAATCCCAATGAAATACTCACACATGCACACACGCCTGCACATCAACAGAAGAGACTGTGAAGACACGAGTCTCAGCAGACTGGAAACAGAGTCTGCCGAGACTCGTGGCTGCATAATGTAAAACATAATATAAGATCTTGGGGATAATTCAATATTAGAATTCATGAGCTTTCATTGGAAAATGAAGTGATGCTATCCTGTTACAGATATCATCATTTTACAAAATGTTCAGTATACACAGTTTCGCCTGATCTGTAACAGTGGGACGCTGCTTTTGCTGTTGTGTAATTTTGCACACATGTTCCATGTCACAATATATGTATGAATATGAAAAATATTCTTATTATTTATTCTACATCATTATATTGATTTTATCCATATCAACCAGTCATAATTTTTTCCAACATGGTCTAAGATGGGTCCTGTAAGTCAAGGGAGGGTGTATTAATATACCACATGGTGTCCTGTCAACTCAATCCCTGTGTTTGTTTGTGATTTGACATACATTTCTATATAGAGTGTGTATGAAGTCATGTATAAAAATGATGTGTATTTCTTTGTGTTTGCATGCCCATGAATTAGATGAGTATTTTTAAACTGACAAACTAACTGACAGAAGAGTTGAGTCTTCCTGCATCAGCAACATAGTTGGTGTCAGTAAGTTTTCAGTCACAGGGACCTGTCAGTTACTTTGCTCTGGTTATCTAAAACATAATATTTTCCCTTTTCTCCCTTAAGTTTCTTTAACATTTGGGGGGGAAATGTTTCTGGCACTATAAAATTAAGCCAGACTTAATTATATTTGGTTTGTAAGTAATTAAGTAATGTTTGGTCATATAAATTCAGTTGTTTGATTCAGTCTGCTTGACCCACCAATAGGAGATGTGAGCATTTTTTTAAGAGACATAATCAACACATTTCCTGAATAAATATAATTTTGTTGATGTGTTTCCCCTGTAAAAGCATATTAACAAGCCCCCACCAAAGTATCAGGCAAGGACATTTAATCATTCGGCTGATTAACCAAAGATGGAGTTTGTAAGATAAAGATGCTGGCGGATATTGACCCTGCACATTGTACTGTAAGACATCATTGAATTTGATCAGCAGAAATATGTAGGAACCCTGAATGTTTAACAGTAGCTGTAGGAGGCTGAGGTACCCCCTCATTTCCTCCTCCTCCCCACCTAGCCAGACAAGATGGATGACATAATGGGGGCATCAGAGATAATCTGATGGTCATGGTCTAGTTAAACACACCATGTTATGATCCTTATAAAACAAACTACCTTTCCAAAAGGATAAATGTTCCTCCTCACACTCCTCCACTGGGGAAGGGGGAGAAAAAATCCATTGCATCCTTCATCAACTGTAAGACTTGTACCAGCTTGACAGAAATTTAATTCGAGGCAGCTCTTGAAAATAATTATTGTATTTTGAGAGGAGTAATCATTGGCCGGGACATGATTGAATGTGTCCATGCCTATTGACTTTTGCTATGATTAATAGGTTTGTTTAGTCGATATTCCCATCGAAATTGTATAATTAATTATCCCCAGCGCTGTCACGGCGGGACGATGGAGAGCCCTGATGAGTATTTGGGAAGATTAAATTTTCTGGGCGCTCGTGGCGTCAAGGGGCACCGCGGGGCCTTGCTCCGGTGGAGAGATGGGAGGAGTGTGTGTGTGTGTGTGTGTGTGTGTGTGTGTGTGTGTGTGTGTGTGTGTGTGCGCACACGCATGCGTGCTGTGCATGTTTGTGCTGTGCATCCGTAGATCTGCACGATTTCTCCCTCTCCAGGAGCACACGCCCGCAGGGCCGTCCCCATTGATTTTGTTTCAGTATCTCTTTATTGTAACTTTATCAGTGTGGTGTCGGCAGATGGGGGACCAGGAGAGGAGGGTGTGTTTGTGTACTAGCTGTAGTAAGTGATGAACCTTTCTGTCTGGCCTGCCTCTTCTTGTCATGCTGGCAGCGTAGCCCTCGGCTTTACTCAAAATCCCAGAGACATTTTAAACATGAGAGGAACATAAAAAATAAAGAACAAATGCTCCTTCAGCCCAAGTTCTTTCATATTTTACCTGTCAAAGCTCTTAAGTGGCAAAACAGAAGCCGTGCTAAATGAAATCTGACCTTAAAGGATTTATAATTTATATAAACTGATGCTGCATTGCGGTTTGTCTTTTAGTTTAGCTCGCCTTTATTCTGAACAGGTAACTTACTTAGCTTTATCAGAATAGATAGCGCAAATGCACTGCAAGTTTTATGTATCACTACTATTCCCTGTTCTTCTAGCAATGCCTCTGAGCTGAAAAAAATTGTGTCCTTAATGAAATCTGTTTTTCCATCTGTATCAGAAATCAGTCCTCATCTAATTTCATTCCTCTCTACATAAATTTAACGTTCCTCCCTACTACACATTTTAACAGACATGAAAATAAGATAACAGTGTTGCAGTGCACTGTGGTGTTATGTTTAGTTTGGGTTGTCCCCTCTCAGAACCAATCGGCCACCCCCCCTGTCAGTGACGGTTTATCGCTTTTCCACACAAAATAATGAAGATCTCATAAAAAGAAGGAAAAATATGGCCCCTGCAATGAAAGCCAAGTGTGAGGTGTAAAAATCAAATTAAATGACCTTTCACCCCAACATTTATTGATGGGTTTTAATAGCAGCAGGTGTTGTCACGGGCGATATTTGACAATGCATAAATCAAAGCACAATTACAGGTGGTGGACATTGAGCCAGCACACTAAGAGGGACGGTTGGGGGCCACAGACCTCGTGTTCCCTCTTTTTACCTTCTTCAAATTCCTGCCTCTTAACTATCACTAGCGCTCTGATTTAGGAGCACGCTGATCATCCAAGCAGAGTCAGAAATTTGAGCCCATGACAGGCCAGTTTTTACCCAGACACTTCTTCATCTTTTTCCCTCTGTGATATTGGCGGAGCGGCATCATCTCACACCGCTTCCTACACAACTCCCAAGGTCATTTCTGGTTGACGGACTACTCCTGGCTTTATAAAGTCATGAGGCCTTGAACCAATATAAGCTGTTTTTTTTTTTACCTACCAGAGCAGCAGAGCGTTCTGCTTAATTGACCTGGGATGAAATGTAGTGTGAAATTTGCGTCTGCAGGGTTTTCCATTCACCTGAATGAATTACTCAATATTCACTTAAACCCCACACGCTGTAGATACACACAGCCATATGTTGCTCATACCCTGCTGTTTAAACTGTGTCACACACTTCAGGTGCTTTACCTGAAACAAACAGAATCACACCTGTGAACATGTACATAGACAACATGCACAAACAGACAATTGTTAGTCATTGATTTGAGCACTGCATTGCTAAATAAATTCTCACTTTTAACTTCCCACCACCTTTGTCCCAACCTGCATCTTAATATATTACACACACCACACACACACACACACCAGAGCTAGACCTATTAATCAGCTGGGCCAAAATATCAGCTGATATTAGCTTATTGCATATATACTATATATTCATAGTTTGTCCACCAGAGAGCGCTGACAATTTTTTTCCAACTGTAAAACGTCTCTGTCATTACACATTGTGGCAGTGAATTTAAATGAATAAAAAATGTGATGTTTATGTCACGTGTTTGTACACAAAAATTACTATTGGCCAAATATGTACATCACTGACCAACTGCTAAACCCCTCCACTAAACAGCAATTGTCGTATTATAGCATAGCAACCGTAACTAGGCGTGACAGCGCAATTATGTAATTACAGATTACATTAAAAAAGTACCCTGTCCATGACTAGCACATCCACTATATAGCATTTCCTCTAGTAATGTTGCACACATGCAGGTTTCCGTGTCGGTGCACAGCTTTACAGACGTGTTACAGTCTTTCACACACAGTAATCTGTGGCGTTTATTGCGAACAGGAGACTTGGAGACTTCTGGCAGACTTTAACGGCACAATGTTGATCAGCGCTGGGGGAAGTATTCAGATCGTAAAAATTGCAGTACTGCAATCTAAAAATACTCCATTGAAAATATAATATTAGCACAATGTACTTAAAGTGTCAAAGTAAAAGTAGGTATAATTCAGACAAATGGCCGCTGTGTGTTGTATTATTATTTATTATATTAGATGGTCAGTTTCCACATTACATTACCTTCAAAATTAAGCAGGTTTTGTAGTTAAGGGTGGCCAGGGGGAGCTGGGGGTTGAAGGGGCTAGGTCAGTTGAAGCTTCAGTAAATCCACTGACAAACACACAACTGCACTACTGATTTCCCCACTGTGTGGAAGCCAGTCCGGGATGTTACTGTATCAGGGTATAGACTAATGTCAGTGGTTCTGTTCTGCTCTTTAATGGATTTTGGGAAGTTTACGCTCCTGTAACTCCAGCCAAACATGTTATCCAAGATTTTCTCAAGAATTCTCAATTAACAATATTATTATTGGCCTTTGTAAAAATCCACCATCAGTCAGACAATAACACACACATACTTGAGGAAGGTATCACTGGGTGGATGGTAAGATGGGGTGTACAGTGGAGCGTGGGGTTACATCCCTTGCTCTGCCATCCCTCATCCACAGTGTGTGAGCCTCTCCTGTGACCCCGGCAGTGTGAGTTTGATGAATGCCGCACATCTGCCCTCCTGAACCACTGAGACTCCGTCTGGGAGGCCCCTCTGCCTGCAAGTAATGGCCACTGTTCTACACCACGTACACATAATGACACACACACACACACACACACACACAAACACACAGAGCGTCGTCGTGAAAGCACATCCTCGACTTTGGCTTATTTACACGTGTACTCAACAGTCGTCTGAAGACAAACTATGTTTAGATGGTCACACATGCACAACATAAATATGTCAGTGTAGATGGAAGACTGTAGTTACCTTCTGCGGATATAATAATACTCATATGACACCCCTCCCTCCTCCCACGTCTTCACTTTGTGAGGACGTCCTTCCAAATATTACCCATGTGCACCACGTTGATATTTCATCATGTATCCGTCAACATCTTGCTCCATGTAATACACCAATGTAATGTCATTAATGTCAAGCTGCCTTACAACCGCTGTCAGACTCGTACCGTCTAGGATGAGGTCTTCATCAGCACATAATTGTAGCCTGGTGTCTGAAACATGTACAATAGCCCAATTTACCACTAAACGAACATGTCTCGGCTCCATCCTGATGCCTTCCTGTGTGAAAGGAAAGGGTGGGGCTACCACAGGGTCCTCCGGGGTTGCTGGGAAACGTCGCTGTCAGTCTCTCAGGGAGGCAGTCATGCAGGTGCCCGAGCTACCTGTTCATCTCCAAGATAATTAATGTGTACAAGAAGCCGCTAATTGCACTTTTCACTAATGATTTATGGGTTTTGTGAAAGGGGGGAAATTGGGGGAAGTGTGTGTGTACACTCTGGTGCAAGAGTACAGCTGGGTGAGGAGACATGATTGATGAAGAGTGTGTGGATGCACTGTTAGGGTGGAGAGATAGACCCCCAGTAGAACAGGGGTAGGAACACACACAAAACTGGGCAGTTGCTGATTCTGATTGCGGCTTATTCTTACCCACATCTTATTCAGACTGAGGCCCTGTGATAGAGGAGTGCTGACGTCTGGTTTGAGTTGAGATGAGACTTCAAATTAAACTGTCTGAGTCAGAAAAGGCTTGAAATTGTCCTTGAAATTTTTTTCTGAAGACAACTGTAAATTCATAATCACGAAAACTATTCAGCAGGACCTACAACTGCTCAGAGGTCTGCAGTGGAAAACCAACTTGTAGAGAGGAATGTATGAATGGATGAATGTAAAGCAGAGCAGAGCTGAAAAAGAGTATTCAGGCTGTGGTGACTTTCCTTTGATCAAAAATGTAAAAAAAAACAACTAATAATTTAAACCTTGCTCCCATTCTCTCTTTTCTCTTTTCTTCCCACAGCTTTTAGAGTTTGACAAAGAGCTGTCCGTGTTCAAGGATCGGCTGCATGAACTGGAGATCTCTTTCCCACCCAGGTATGGAGCCATGTTACATCACACACAACTTTTTCACACAACACCTTCACATTCACACTACAAACTTCTTCAACCCTACACTAGTCTCAGATGTCCTGTAATGATATGTTTGTTGGTCTGTCTTTCCACCACTTGCTCCTGCCTGAAATATTCCAACTACTGTTAAATGGAATGCTATGAAATTTTGTTTTCAAGAATTCATAGAGGTTTTTTATAGTTTATTTAGCCAGAAAATATTTTCTTAAATCATAAAAACATATTTAATCCTTCAGTCTGAAATCAATCATTCGAATTTGAGTTTCAGTAAATTTGAAGATACATGGTTTTCACTGGACAGTGACAAAATGACAATGAAATGACATAAATAGAGCAAACTCTGAGCTTGAACACACAGAGAACTATCACATGTTGGTAAATTCAGTGATTTTTCTTACCAGATCTTGGCCATAAGGAGTCATTATTAATATGTAAAACCAGAAGAAGTCAATCACCCCCTTATTGTCCAGAATGGTTTTCTGAAAGCTGCTGGATGTGTGTTTGATGGCTATCAGTTGTTAAGTATGATTGGATATGGTCCTAAACTGCTCCCATGTGTATTTGCGTATATGTGTGTTGTGTTTGTCACTGTGCGTTGGCTTTGGGCTGCATTGGTATTCTGCCTCAGTGGGACTTAGGGGAGATTGGAGCGGGTGGTCTCCTCTCCTCTTCCTCAAACAAATGCATTTGCAATTAGCCCTTTCAGAGGAGAGGGAGGGCAAACATGCGGCCGGCGCGGAAATATGTTTCGGGAGCAGCGCGTTAATGGTGCTTGACCTTTGCCGTTGGTTGTGACTCAATCAGTGCAGATAATGAAACGCTGTAATCAAACAATAATTACTTGATAAACTGCTCTAGTGGCAGGCGCAGGGCGGCGGGGGATTTTAGTGTGTATGTGTGTGTGTGTGTGTGTGTGTGTGTGTGTGTGTGTGTGTGTGTGTGTGTGTGTGTGTGTGTGTGTGTGTCTGAGTGAGTGTGAGTGAGTGAGTGAGTGTGTGTCTGAGAGATGGCTTGAAATGCACAGAGCTATCAAAGCGTGTGTGTGTGCCAGTTTCAGACTGTGTGTGTGTGCTTACATGTGAAGCACCAAGTGTGAGAGCTGGAGACAGAGTGTGTGAGTGTGTGTGTCAAGGTTCTGCCAGTCCCTGTTTTTTAAATGACTCTGTGTCTTAATCAGGGACCCCATTTACATCACTTTGCATAAGTGACAGGTGGATTTATTGTCCTTTTACACTGGCTGACTTTTGCACCTATCCATATAATACTGAATCATCTCTCCACAGGGAGGAATGAATGTGTGGCTGTGGAAGAATACAAATGATTTCCACATACTTGAGGTGATGATGAATCAAATAGATGAAACCCGGGAGCAGCATATGAAATTTGATTTGATCTACTCTGTGTGTGCGTCATACCACATTGTCTGCCTTGTAATGGGAAGCAGTGGCCTAGTTAAACTTAAACAACCCCCTCCTCCCACTCACATACACACACCCTACACACACATACATACATATACTAGTACCCCTCCCCCTGTCAGGCCTGCCTTGTGCTCCTTGAGCAATCAAGCCTCAAGGATTGTTCTCCATCTCATAGCCTGCGCCGGACCGGCCCCTCGCCATCTGTGAGGTTATCACTCTTTTTAATGCAGGCCATCTGAACACACCCTCGCTGACACACACACTCATGCACGCACACGGCTCACTTTTGTTCAAATCTATAAATCAATAGTCATCACAAACATTTAATCTGCAAGTTAATTCCGTCTGTTGTCCAGCGCAGGGTAAGAAGTTGTCACAAAATGAGACATGCTGTCAAGGGTGGACGAAGGTGGATAACGGTGGATGTAGCAGCAGACACATTTCAGAAAATATTGTGTCTGCAGCTTTCTATTTTTTACCAGGTAACTACAGCTGAAGCATCCCTGGCCAGCAGCTCATTTCATTTTTGTGGAATGCACATCCACTTCTGGCAGACATACATCTCTGTCCCTGTACATAGCCACATGAATTCTTCCCTCGGCGTTGCTGCAGAGGCTCCAAGCTGTAAAATGCATATCTCTTTACTTTCAAGAAGGCGTCTGTCAAAGTTGGCCGTGACAAGTCTAAGCACTTGGGCACTGGGGTGAGGAATTTGCCCAGGCCTTGTCACAGTTGGACCTGGAGCCAGTCGGCTGCTGCGCTCTGATTGGCTGCGGTATGACTTATACGCACATATACAGTCATACACGGGAGCCCATGTTGGGTTAAGAGTTTTCATGGCCAGTGTTCTGGGAGAGAATGGATAAGTCTATTAATCAGAAACCAATCATTTATTTAGACACAGTTTCTCCATCGGGCGTAATGTATGAGACTCCAACCAGCCATTATGTCATTATCTTTGCATAGGCTACAGCACTGACTGAAAATAATGGTAAGTTTTACTATACATTATGGTACTTTTGATTTCATATTTGAAATGGCATAACAAAGGTAATACCCCCTAAAACATACTAAGGCACCAGTAACTTATTCATGTATTTTGATTGATTTAGGGGAAAGCTTTTAGTACTCCTCTGATCTGATTTCTTTGCCCTTTTTTTTGCACAAGATCGATGCAAAAATTGAATCGGGACCCCGGCTTCAAGAGGAAATGCAGTGGACAATGAGGGAGCAGTGGAAGAATGTATTCTGCCTGTAACGTGGTTACTGGGAATGGGCTTTGAGGGAGATTTTGAGTGACATCAGAGTAGCGGTACAACTCCATCAATGGACAAATCATGAGTGATTTCAGGGCAGGGAGATGGTGTGGAAGGTGTGCAGCGTTTGTAGGAGGAAAAAGCTGTGAGTAGAAAAAGAAGGAGGAGGAGAGTAAAAGATGGCCTCTGTCCCATGTCTGTGTTTGTGAAGGAGGAGGAGAGGAGCCAGGATGTGGGTACTAGTGAGATACAGCTTGTGTCACTAGAGGCAGTACAGGTTGCTGTTTCTGCATGTTCACAGATGTGTAGATGTGGATCTTTGGAAGTGCAACTTAACATGGAAATAAGAGTTTCTTGGCCAGATATACCCTATGTAGACTCTTGTGGCTACATGAATACATGGACATTTATAGAGGAGTTGACCTGTCCTGGATATTTTAAATGTTTGTTCTGCCAACAACCTACAGAACATTCATTTTGGGAATTTGCTAGCAAAGTGCAAAGATTCGTATCTCTCTGGCTTCTATTTATTCCATTACGTAGACGAACCTCTCTTTAAGCACATATAGAACGATGGGAAGGTGTCAGACCTAACACGATGGCTCCAGTCCCCAAGTGTCTGTGTTTGTCAAGTCTAGACTTGGAGAGAAGCAGGGGACTAGAGTATGGCCCAGAGGTCAGGAGGTGAGGCCAGGGAGGAGGCAGAAACATAAACAGAAGCACCCTGGGACCAGCCTTGGCACATTAGCTTACATTTTTCTGAGCTGCAGGTCTATGAGGACAAGCAAGTAAGTGACTTGCCTGCTGGGAAACTCTACAACATTCACAGGTTCATGAAAGAGGAAGGGGGAGGAAGAATGACTTTACCCCTCAGGTGAGAGAAGATTTTGGTTAAGTGGCACAAATGGCTACCTGCCAGCTGCCCAGTAACTGCTAATAAGTGCATATGAGTGAATTATCAGAGCAGTGGAGAATTCCTCAAGACTCTTTCAGAGCTCATAGGAAGTGCTCACACAGATGGCTCTGCTGTGTTCTGTGAACAACACTCTTCACACAACACCCCTGAACTCTGAAGCCCTGTACAAGTGATGTCACCCCCTCTCCATGTGCATTTCACTGTGAATACATTAGTCCTATAGCCCTGTTGTTTGCATCCTATATGAAGGAGGCTTCTTGTTCTCTGCACTGTGAACAGTCATGCTATAGTGGGGCAGAGCAGCGTGACTCCGTTTAAGGAGCCTCACAGATGTAGTTTAACCACAGTGTTTGGTTATAGCGCCGTGCCTGAGCCACTGTAAGCGTGTGGCTGGCATTGGCTCGCTGCGGCCACAGGATCCAGCGCTACAGGCCGATCTGCTGAACAGAAACATTGTTTTACAACCATCAGCGCATCCATCATTCTAACTACTAGAGAGCCAGTGAAAATGATGAGGGCCCATTGTGGTGATAATAGCTGAAGATTGTCCGCTGTCGTGTGTCATTGCCTCTTGTCTGAGATGATGCCAGTGAGAGGGAGGCTTTGTTAAAACTATCTCACATGGAGAGAATGGAATGGATGCCATCTGTGTCTTCTTGTCTTCATTTAGAGCAGCTAAAGGCAGAACATGTCATAGCTGAACCCCAGCAGGCTGCGAGCCATGAGCTATTGATGGCATTTCACTCTGTTTGTACTGCACTATGCCAATGTTGTGCCTGCGAGCCTCCCAGCTCTACAAACTGAAGCAAACATTCAGCTTTATTGATAGCATTTGGCTGATCTTTTTGAATCTGTGTATGTGTGTGTGTCTGTGTGTGTGTTTTGCCAAGCCTCCCCTGACAACGGCAAACAAACATAGCTGTAGAGGCAGTGAGTCGTTTGAAACCCACGGTTTCTGACTTTTTAGCCAATGCCAGCCCGCCACTGGCCACTCCGACGTCCCATGATGCACCCTTGACCTCATGTCACTGATCCTATGACTCTTATCTGTAGCTTCAAGCCCTGCTTGTGTTTCCAAGTTTATATTGCCCTCATTAAATACTGAGCAAGTGAATAGCCCACTGTTTGGCCTGTCACTTATTTGTCATTATGTAGAACACAGTAATAGCTTTTGATGTAGGAGACAGGAGGATGTGGGACAGGAAAGTCTGGTCTGGAGCAATCCCTTCCAGCCCTGAGTGATGCAGGTTGGTAGTCTGGCCTACCAGCAAAATCTTAAAACACATTTTATTATATCTTTTTATTGTTTGTTGTTTTAATGTTTTAATGTTATCCAAATTAAGTGTGTGCAGATGCAGTAGCTTGTATAGCACAGCAACATATGTCACAACAGCCTTTCCGTCGGCTGGGTGAGGCTGGGTGACACACTATAGGTAGGGCCTGTGCTCACCTCACCAGTTTTTACTGTTGCAAGATAAACAAGCTGACACCGGCCGGAACACAGTTGAGTAATGTGTCAGCGGCCAAGTCAAACATTAAACCCCAAACCAAGCATGAATGAATGAGCTCTCGATGGGTGCTGGAGGCTCTCGATATGCGACTGTACACACATGTATCATCTGAGATGTGGTCAGCAACACAAGAGAATGGAGGAACAAGCAGGAACACAGCATCAACTTCACACAAGAGGCTGTAAAAGACTGTAAACACTAGTGAACAAGACAAAGACATGTGACACAAATATTTCCGTTATCACACCAGCAGCTCTGTCAATGTCATTATTAATACTGATGAGAGTCAGAAACTTTTCTCTTGTAACTTCTACACTTAGCATATAAGCTCATAATGTATTGTAAAAACCTTCAGTTGTGAGCAGCCCCTCCATTTCCTTTGTGCATTGCAAAACAATGTGAACAAAACACACTGAAAACCAGCTTAGAATTAGTTTCATTATTACATTTCATCATTAGTTGGACTTGTTTAATTACTAAATATTGATAGATTTTTAGGTTGACAAAAAATACACATCTGTATTTTATTTATAGTGTATATGAATTTCATAGATTTAGAGAACTTCTAGTAAAAAATTCAAAAATCTCAGCTCTGGTGCATGAATGAAGTACAGGGAATGAGATGTACATGTAATTCACAATTGCTTGCAAGAAACCTTCAACAGAACTGAATCTGTAACAGAACACATTTGGTTCAAAAACATCCCAGTCAGGACAAAGTGGTAATATGTCAGCCATTGTACCAGTGATTGTGTGACTGTCACCAAATTATTGTATCTTCCAGACAAATAGACCCTCCATTCTCACAGGCACACCTGTTCCTTAGTTTGAACCAACTAAACGCTGCATTTTGTGATCATTTGTGTTCACTTCCTTTTATTTTACACCCCTCAGGAAGCAGTGTATGTGGCTGTTTGCATGTTCACTTTGTACGCATACTATGTGTGTGTGTATGTGTGGATACCTTGAAGTGCAGCTCCCCCTCCTTTACAGATACACAATTGTTGGAGTTATCAGCTTGGCCCATTAATTAGTGTAATTAGTCTTGCTGTGGGCAATAACGGTCTGATATGAGCTGACGGCCTCCAGCCCACACACCCTCTCGGACCGTTTACCTTCCCCGATAAGTTTGTGAGCTCTCTAATCGGACACATTAATCATTTTGGCCCCGGCGCGCCATTCAACTGTTTGCTGTTGCATTAAGACTTGTTATCTCTATTGGAGCCAACGGAGGGTGCGGTAAAACAGACAGGGGAACAACCTATACCTGCACACACAGGGACACAGAATGGCCCTTTAATGGCCACATTGAGTATTTTTAATCAGCTTTAACAATGGCCAGTTGTCATCAAAAATGACTGAACGATAGCAGAGTTTTGTTGCTGAAGTGCTTGAGGAAGTTAGCTATCAGGCGGGAGTTCATTGTTTTAAGGAGGTGAGGGGGAAAACTTGATTTTCTCTCAATCTCTTTAACACCAAAATGACCCCAGCTTGTTAGTCAATAAAGCTATAACAGGGTCCCTGATTGGAGGATGGTTCACAGGCTGTTTAAGGACAGTCCCTCAGGAAGCATACAGGCCACCCTGAAGTAGAGCAGCTCCACAAGCCCTTTGAAGACTTTGCTCTTTTTACCCTCACTTTGCCTCTTTCTGTCTGATCCATCTTTATCCCCTCTCTTCTGCCTCCCTGTCTATCTCTGTGTCACTCATCCTATTCTTCATGCTGTCTTTTATCCCAGGATCACTTTGATTAGCATACCAAAACCCCATGCATTTCCCCCATGGTTTAAGTGCTATTAATGCTAATTGGAGGCAGGGAACTTCTCTAAGTAGCTCTCTGCAGGTCTATTTGTACACCTGGTGGGGGGCTGTGTGTGTGTGTGTGTGTGTGTGTGTGTGTGTGTGTGTGCTGTGCTGCTGTGTGTGTGTGCTGTGTGCGCGATGTGTCTGAGTGTGTGCAGTCTCTAGCGTAGTCGCGTGTGCAGTAGACCAGTAACACCACTCAGCCTCAACGTGTGTGTGTGTGTGCTCGTTTGTGGCTGATGAGGCTCCTTCATGCCCTAGCCTTAACCCCATACACATAGCCTGCTGAAAACATACTCTCACATAATACATGTTCATTATTCATAAAAATGGTCACAGTGTCAGCACATATATCTGTTTCTGTGAGTGTATGTGATCTGAATGATTTCATTGTGGTGCAGAACAGTATCACTGTATCTTTTTAGGACCTGTACTGAAATGATACAGTGATTCTTTGCACAGTGATACACTTGTCACTTTGCAAAGAATTCACTGGAGGGCACAACTGGCCGTATGTTCCACAAAAAAAAAAAAAGCAAAAAACTAGCCAGGTTTATGATGACCAATCCCAATAAAATCTGTTTAGTTTGTGTTCATAATGAATATTTACTTTATTCTGTTGGTTTATCAGACATTAATGCTCATTGATCAATAGAAAAAGTTATATGTTAAAAAAGCACCTTAATATAGAACAAAAATACATACAAAAATAATTTAAATTTAGCACTTTGAAATCCATTGGATTTCTAATAAAACGACTGACAATGTGAGTTCGTCTTTGGATCCATGACAGTCAAGAGACCTATAATATCATAGAACCTTAATGGTGTGCTTTGTAATTTTTAGGCATTCTAGCAGCATGGCTGTGAGGATGGTAATACTGGTCTGTCAGATGATTGGTCCAGACTGAAATATCTCAGCAACTATTAGATGGATTAGCATGAAATTTTGTAATCACTCTGATGACTCCCTGGTTCTAAATCTCCTGCTCAGATGAATCATGCAGCATTGTTGTGTTGAGCTGTTACACTGAGCACTGAACACTCATAGATACTTCTACAACCAAATGCTAACTGCCCCATTATGATGACATTATCTTCTGGACTTGTAAGAAGAAACTCGTATGAGAACTACTAGTAGTAGTATCAGTACTGGTTGCAGCAGCAGAAGCAGTAGAACCAGGCACATAGTAATTCGAATGCACACACATACATATAAAGCAACCACAACCAAATGCTTATTAAACATATTCTGCCTTAGCACAAAGTCCAATTAAGCTCTCAGAGCCTGGTGCGTGTGATGAATCGAAGGCCCAGTTTATGTGTTTATTTTATCATTAGGATATCACCGTCCTCAGTGAAGATGCACTTTGTGTTATGCTACAGTTAGCACGCGTGGCACTGAAGGAGCAAATTGGATTGGTATTACAGTATGTAAGCCCGCTCTTACATCCTGATGAGCGCCGACAAACAAATTGGATTGGTGGCGTGTAAATCTGAAGCACTTTGATGAGCCGAAGGGGCAAATTGAATTCTCAACAATGTAAATCTGTATCAGCTCAATGGCTCCCCGCCCGACTGCAGCCCTGCCGCCGCTTAAATCATGCAATTGTTCCCTGCTGTTCCAAGACACAATCTCTCTTGGCCATTTGCCGCGGCACCTAATCTGTTTTTGATGACCGTGTAGGGATGTAGCTATACATATGGGCAACTGAATCTCCCTCTGGCCCACTCCGCTTAAATCGCTCTCATTCTGTCTTTTTTTATTTTCCCTCTCTCTCTCTCTCTCTCTCTCTCACACAAACACACACTCACAACCTGTACAGTTGGCAGAGAAAGATTGCTTTGATTGAGCCATCCATGTGTGTTGATTCAGGAGATTACTCAGATGATTGGTCATACTAATGGACCTCCTGTTTTCTCAGGAAAACATTTTGATCTCTGTCTCTGAGATAAGGCGGATGACGTGACGTCTCATATTTATTACTCTTCTGCAGCCCTGTTGATTCACATGCATCATATTTATTGCTTTCCTTATTGGCTTTCCTTTAGTGTCTTGTTCTCTGTGCAGCACTGTACTGGAATATAAAGTTCCTTATTACCTGGATACTATTTAAATGTTTATAAATGATTGTAAATATTTGACGTGAGTCTATATTTTTGTATTAATTGATTGTGTTTTGCTTGTGTCTTTCCAGCTATCCGTATAGTGAAGACAGCAATCAGGGGAAGCAGTACATGAACACCAGATGCCCTGCCTGGTGTGACCGAATCCTCATGTCTTCCTCTGCCAGAGACCTGGTCTTAAAGGTGAGCCTCAACCTGCTACTGTTGGTTTTGTTCAGGGGTTTTTGGTTGTTTTTAAAAGTCAGATTCTTTCATGTTTTGACCCAAACGTCACCGCTCCTCCCGGAACTAAAACACTGGGTCTTTATTAACGGCTCACTCATGATTTCTACAACTCCATCATCCTTGATCCACATTACCCTCCCCTCCTCTGCACTTCACAGATGGAAGGATGAAGTGTCTGTGCATATTAATTTGGAGCAATAAGCCATGGGTCCACCCAGACAGTATCTATATCCCTGCACTTATAGAGTTCCAGTGGGCCCCATCTTCTTCATAAAACCACAGATCTGTCTCCTTCCTCAGAGATTCGAACCCTGCCGGACCCACGCTCGGCTTCAAATCCATCTCAGCACTGTAAACTCCAGCCAATCTGCCACCTCTCCCCCTTCCTCCAACCTCCTCCTCCTGCAGCCTGTGCTGTAGTCTGTTCACTCTTTTGACTGACTCACTACTTTGTTTGCTGGATTAGAGATCCAGAGATGCAAAGTTTTCCCATATTTTTTTTTTTCATAAGATCTCACCTCTTGATTTTGAAATCAGGCTGCCATGACAACCAGAAATCAGTTTGTTAGTGTCTTAGATCCCTAACACTGGGTTCTTAGTCAGTAAGCTCAGTTTTGAGTCCTGAGTGTTTGCAGGCTTTCATCTGTTAATGTGTGTGAAAGTGTATTGTACAGTAGCACTCCGCAGCAGGGGGCTGCTCAGGAAGTTTGGCTTTCTTTTGTCTGCCACAAATGAGAAATTCCTTCCTGATCTTTCTTCTTTTCTGACTGAAGCATCTCAAGGACCAGAACAATAACTCTGACCACTGTGTTACAGTAAGCTGTAGAGCATTTTAAAATGATAACAGTTCGTTTCACCCATTTAATTTGTCAGAATTATGAAAAAAGTGATACACACACACACACACACACACAGCTGGGTTGTTGTTTGCTTTTCTTCCCCTCAAGCACCGGCTAATTGCTTGTAATGCAGGGACAGAGTGGAACAGTTAGTGTGTTCGCAGATTGGCTGATGATTCACTGAGCACACGCTCTCCGGCTCTGAGCATTACAGATTGTTGAGACATGGGCCCGTAAACAGCCCAGCGTGTGGCGTCATCTATCATGGCACGGTCGGTTAACTCGCCATCATGTTATTTTCTGCTTGCCGAGCCCTAACACGCCAAAGGTTGCCCGCTGGCCGTGCGGCGCGGCACCAGCTCCGGGAGCGCCGGTAATGAATGTTTAGCCGAGCGAGCGCTCCCTCTCTGCTGGAGGGCCCCGGGTAATTTGTTTATCTGTCTAAAGATTATGCAGCCCGAAAATCCACAATTTTATGCTGCCTTTGTAAATTATCAAGTGTGTGTTTGATGAATGTATCTCGGGCTGTGGGAGGCAGCAGCTCGGAGACCGGCTGCCAGACAAATAGAGAGGTGGCAGTGCGTGGCCCGCTAGCAAAGGTAGTGAGGTGGAGGCACACCGTGTGCTGACCCCGCTCCACCGCAGGATTGGTCTGAAGTTAATTTGGATTTCGCTTTATGGTTCATTCTCAGGCTCTCTGTCTTTTTCCGTCTGAAGCGCCAGCGCAGCTCACCGAGACACAACTGGTAGCACCCAGCAGCCCCTCTCTCTCTCCCTCTCTCTCCCTCTCTCTCGCTCTCTCTCTCGCTCTCTCTCTCTGTGTGTGTGTGTGTGAGTGCGTGCGCGCGCGCGGGGGTTGGGGCGGCTGTTTAAAAAGTCTTTAGTTCAACCAGACAAGTGTGATTTATTCTCCAGTCTGCAGATTCATGTGTGAGTGGGTAACAGCTTCTTTGTGAGCAGAAAGTGATATTGAAACACGATTCTCTCAGATGGGCTCTTAGATTACACAAGGAGTGAATCTGGTCCAGAGGCAAATGTCCACTTTGTAAATCACTCCTGCTTTTCATTTCTCTTCACTGCACAAGTTTCAAAGTTAAAACTGTGCAGAGTTTCTGAAGGTGCATTCAGTTCGGTGGATAATTTTGTTTGTGTTTTTCATAAATCAAATGTTGTGCTTTAATTTGAAGGAATTCAACAAAACAGATTTATGATATTTGTGTTGTTTCCTGGGTTTCTCTTAAATAAACGAATCTAGCATCATAAAACCTTGCAAATATAAGGTATAAAAATATGTTTTTGATGTAATACATGTGTACGTATTTAAGAAAGCCTTCACTACTTAACAGGTACAGTTGGTGTTCATTTTAAATGTGTTCCCCTCACTATATATACTTAGTTCAGAGTCAGAAAGTGAATATTAACCAGAAATCCAAATTGCACTGGTGACATAATAAGAATCTCACTGGCAGCTCAATAAGCTGTGCTTTGTGTCATTTCACCTCAACAATGGCCCTGAAATACATTTTTGAACCTTGGATTTATTTAGCACCTCCAGGTGACTTTTATTTTGAAAGGTACAACATAATCCTGCTAATTGTGTTTAATGAAGCCGGTACATTGATTGCTCATCCATGAATGTGTCATAAAACATGATAAAAGCCTGTAATGACTGCACTGTGTAAACACAAACACAGTGCTGCTGACTCTGCATCCTCTGTGTATTTACTGTGTAACAGCAGCAGTGTGGAGGGGCCCCATCACATCATGAATACAACTACTGTTCATCACCTTTACATCACAAACGTTTTGGTTTTGTGTCTCTGCAGCCTGAAAATGAAGAGAAGTCTATAGTCTATGATAACATTGGGCCCAATGTCTGCATGGGGGACCACAAGGTAACACCGGGGGCTCTGCCCACATCTTCACTTTGTGTGATTGTGTCGTGCTGTTGTGAATAAAGTGTGATTCTGTGAATCTGAAGAGGGCAGACTACTCCCAACACATCTGCAACTCATTTGGAGAATCAACTCTTTGTACTGTACATCTGGATGTTAACATATTGCAACTACATGAGACTGATAATGTTATTAAAGATTACAGGACATAGTTTAGTTATACTGTACTGAGGCTCACCTGCACTGATTTTATTGCAACATTTATTAATAGATATCTCATTATTGTAGTGCTTATTCCCTTTAAGTGTAAAGTTTTAGTTTTCGATGATGTAAATGCAGTTTAAGATGTTTTAAGAGATGGACAGAAGAACATTCTGTCTGATCAAGATTTAAAGAAAGATGTCATAAGTGAAGTTACAAATATTTTCAATCTAAAGTGACAAAATTTCACCCACCAGCAGCTTTATTCCAAAAATGTCTCTATCTGCCCTAAAAATGCTAAACAGTCGACTCTTAACTTAAAGCTGTTTGTATTTTCAGGAAGAAGCTTAGAAAAGTAAGAGAGGGGTCATTGCTGCTGAGGGGAGTGTTTTTTCTTTTTGACTGTATAGAAAGTGTTTAACACTGTTTCCTCAGTCGCTGCCGTGTCAGACAGAAGGCTACGCTAAAAGAGAGGCGCCTTAACTCAGGTCTTTCATCATTACTTAGTGTGATATAGACAGTGGTGTGTGTGTGTGAGATGACCCGAGCACACTGACAGATACTGCAGCAGCCCTCACCTCCAAACCACACACTGCTGCTAAAATCACAGCTAGCTATGTTTAAAAAATGTCCGATGTAGTTAGCACACGGGCCCAAAAACGCACAGCCCTGGTATGTGAGTTTAACCTGTGTGTCATAGGTGCTCAGAGAGGGAAAGAGTGAACACTTGTCCCACAGAGCGCTAACAGTCTTCAGCTCGTTGTCTCTAACTGTGGTTTGTCTCTGTCCCCCCACCAGCCTGTCTTCCTGTCCTTCCGAATAACAGCGGGGGCAGGTAAACCTAATGCAAATAAGCACAAGTGTTGTGTGGTGCAGTGATGTCGTGGTAAATATTAATTTTTCTTTATTATAATTATTCCCATTGTTGCTGTTGTTTGCTTTGATTTGCGTGATTTTTCATTACTTTGCACAAATTTTTCTGAAGAGTTTTATTCCAGAATAAAACATCATCAGTGGAAAAATGTTGCACAGTTGCTTAAAATGCTCCAGTCATTTTAAGACATTTACTGAACAACTAGAGCTGCATCTCATATTTTAACATAGAAGAGAGAGGAGTGGCCATCAGGGCATTTTATTTTTCTTTGATTGAAATGTCTGCTTGATATTTAGGAATAAAACTTCTCCTTTTTTTCCTCCACAGGGAAGTGTTGCCAAAGGGGGGAGAACATATTTCGTGAAGCGCCTCTGTGAGAACACCGGAGAAACAAACAGGACACCAACACACACACACACACACACACACAAACACACACAAGCACAACGGTGGCGGCACGTTTAACAGGTGTAGAGGGAGGCGACAACACACATACACATCACAAGAACGATGCGAGATCGGGCAACACAGCACTTATAACACTTGCACGACAGTCTGATTGGGCACAAGCGTACACTGAAGAACCTAGACAAACTTTTTTCAGCAGTGCTGACCAGTCGCAGTTGTCCTGACACCTCATTCATATGAAAACCCAGCCAGTTTCTCTCCATAAAACACTTGTTGAGATGTGGACGAGCACCCGAGGGCCCGGCTCCAGACAAGACACACATCGCTGACCTCACCGTTGCCATGCAACCCCATTCCCCAGAGAAGAAAAGGAAGGACGGACGACTCTTTTCCATGCCACAGCCTTGTTGCCAAAACTCTAATTGAAATCAGTTCTACTACATACTTTTAGACACCGTACTCGCCATTTTTAGGTATGCCTCTATGTATAGAAGCTACTTTCCATACAGTATGTAAGGTGTTTTAAAAAAAGAAAAGTGCAATGCAAAAAAAGTTGTATATCTATATTGTTAGATTTATTTGTACATTGGACAGTATAACATAGAGTTGTTGATGGTTTTAGTGCCGTTCTCTTTTCTGACCAAACGTTGTGGTCCCTTTGTTGGAATAGATAGAATCTTTTCAGTTTATTTCAACAATTTATATATATATATATATATATATATTTTTTGTTTTGTTTTTGAGTTGTTGTTGTTGTTGTGTGCACAACACACTGCCATGCCTGACACATCAGTTGAGTCTCATTTTATATACTGTACTTTTTAAAGAGATAATTTATAATTCTTACCAAAATGTTTATGCTGAAGTGCGGAGACGAAGCGACTGTTTGGGTGTTCCTGCAGCAACTGTGACCTTTGAGTCGTCAGTACAAGAGGAGAAACAGAGAAAACTCTTCAGTGATTTATTGCCTATCCAAGAATGTTTTAAGCAGTGCCATAGACCATGCAAGTATATAAGATAATGTTTCATATATAGCACTCTCACATTATTATTCTTACTCTAACTTATTTCTATAATATTATGGTTCTGAATGTGATATTTTAGATAGGCTTGGGTATCCTTAAAATGTAAACTTTTTTGTCTATTTTTGTTACTGCATTATGGTGCCAAGTATCCTACACAGAAATGAAGTGTGTAAGAGTTATAAAATACTTAAGTCAGATGGTAAAGGTGTTGATTATGACATGTAAAAAAAAAAGAGAGAAACTCTAAATGCGGGGAAAGAGCAGGAAGACGTGCTTTTTATTTGTTTTGTATGTAGCCTTCAGCAGCCGTCACTGCAAATAATTTGAGCATTACAGGGGCGATCAGAGACGCCAGCGTTTCTTTTTATCGATTTCATTTACTACACTACAGATTTCAGACTGTGTGAAGCTGTCAGATTGATCCTCCGTGATTTTTTTTTTTTTTCATCTAAATCACCGCAAGTAGAAATGATTTTGTGCCTGCTGCAGAATTTATGTTGTCTTGTGTGATTTGGTTTGTAGGCAAAAAGTTAAAAAAAAAGAAAAAACCCTGCTTGTTTTTGTTCCTGCTGGTCATTGTGAGTATACTGTAGGAGTATAAGCCGCAGTTTTTCTTCACTCCATCTTATAAAAGCAGATAGAGATTTTATTCTACCCCTTTTGGACGACCTGGCCTCTACTGTAGGTGATGCAGTTCTCAAGCAATAAAAACCATTAGAGCTCAACGGCTGTTTGTCCTCATTACCTCTCATTTTTACCTCTTAGCTGCACAATAACAGCTCCTAATGAAAAGGTCTTCATCAGTTCGCCACCCACATCATCATCAGTGCATTATTAGTGGATTATTTCAGCAGTGTTATAGAGTGATGGACCTCATCAATAAGGATGACAATTACACTTTTCCTCTCTTGGTTTTCCTTCAGGGGGCTGCTCTGTCACAGTTTCAGGCCTCAAACAAAAATAATATTCCTATGGGATTATAGTGTAGTATTGACATTATATAGGATTTTAATATTTTCTGTCTACTTTTGTAAGCCCCATATTGGCTAATATCCCCATAGGATGTTTTGTATACATTATAATTTTGCTCAGTAAAGAATACTGCCACTTCCAGCACCTATCCAGGCTGAAGTAAATAGAGGAAAGTTTGCTGCAACAGACTGAAGCCAGAGGCCAGAAATTAGTCACATAAATCCTAACTTAATTTATAACTTATTTTAAATTAAGTGTGCAGTTTAATATAATTATACTAAACCTTCCTGAATATTGGTCTCAACAGTTCAGTTAGTAGCAACTGAGAAAAATAAATAAAGGATGATTTTGTTATAACATAAGTAAAGAAAAAACGTATAATCGGGAAGTACAGCAAGCAGTGATTTACTGTCCTGTTAAAATAAGCCTACATCACCATCAGGAAGTACATGATTGTTTAGTTTGTCATGGCCTGGATCAAACTATTTCCCTGTCTCGGTTGATATCACTGTAAATGTTCATGCTCGGATTATTAGAGATTCCTGTCGCGTCTGATTCCATGACTGCAAATTCCTGATTGGTTGAATCCAGACGAGAAGGTGCAGATTGACTGAAGGATGGAATAACAGGTGTAGTAGCGCGTCAGAGACAGAGGGGGCGCACTGCTGTCAAAGACCTCCAATTTACTGGGCTGAACAGAAATCTATTAACTGTTTACACCAAACATCGAACATCATGGACCCAAGTTATAATCAATCATTTTCTTTAAAAAAAATTAGTAATTAAAATGCCGGTGTTGTCGGGTGACGCCCACAGGAAACCAGGAGAGGTCCAAAAGAATTCAGTAAGATATCCAGGAATAAGACTAATAAAAACTATGCTTTGTAGTGAATTTTAGGGAAACAGCTGCCCATAATGAATGAATTAAATATATTATATTGGATAATAATAATAATAATAATAATAATAATAATAATAATAATAATAATAATAGCAATAATGTATAGAACCTTATTTCTTCCTTTTATGCAACATTGAAAAATAAAAATAAAGCTAAACCTAAAGACAAAAAAATTAAATGCTGTTTTACTCAGCCTATTATTATTAATATTATTATTATTATTATTGTTTGGATTATTGTTGTTGTTGTTGTTGTTAATCATAATTATTATTACCAAAGAGTGCTTACTTTCCATCATGAATCCTTCAGACTTAAATATAAATTATAACTCGTTCTTACATCAGCATTAATCCTCTAAAAGCATCAGTTACCAATAATGAAATTCAGTTATTGATAGTCATGAATTTATCTTTAATTTATATTAAGCCCATACATTAAAACAAAATCCATAATAAAACAAAAATGCTTGTTAAATAATTTATTCATAATACAAAGTGTTTTTTTTTTCTTCCTATAACCTTCCCGGAAGCAATAATACTCTCTTTAATTCCAACATTAACGATGGTCCAGGTTTCTGTTCCGCTGTGTGATGATGAGGTAAAAACATAAAGACTCTTTCAAATGAAATCCAAAGAAAAGTGTGTACTGATGGGACGTCGTTAAAACAAGCTGTTTTTCTTTACAGTGATTATTTACAGCATTTTGCGTCTATACACGTGTGTGCCGGGACTGAACAGAGAATTGTAAAACGTGGAGAAAAGGGGCGACATTTACTCTGCAGGAATAAAAACCAAGCAGCAGGTTTATCTGAGGGGGGATAAGCGCGTCAGGACTGCGGAGGGAAGAAAGGCTGCCACGTTTCCACTCGTTAAAACAACATAACTTATTCAGTAAAAAATATATACAATCTCACGTACATTTTCATCTTTAGGCTACAGCACAAATCATTCATTCATTCATCTCAGGTCTGCGCCCTCTCAAAACATTTTATTCTCTCGCCTTCTAGGACAGTGGATACCCTGGTTAAACTGAGCTTTAGAAGCATCACAGGCCCCATTTACACCTGCCTTTTTAAACATGCGCCTGGGATCCGGATCAGTGCTGGCTGCTAATAAATCAGTTCTACTAAAAGCTTACAGCCACCTCTCAAAACTACATAAGAAAATGGTGGATTTTGTTTAAACCAAAAAAATAATAAAAATCACATTAAAGCTGAATTATCTAAGAATTGTGTTCACTTCACTGCAGAATGAAAAAGGACAGGCAATAATGTAATTTTCCGTCAGATGAAAATGTGTTACTATTACCAGTGCTGACAATTATATAATCAGTTAATAGGAATATTCAAAAGTCTCACTGTGGCAAAGGTAAAGGCCTGTCTGACTTCAAGGTGACACATGTTGGGTAGAGGTGTTAAGAAAATAATGTAACAAGTGTCATGAATTACACTGCATAAGTGAAGTGAAGCACCATTACTTGTGGAGTCAAAGTAATGAGTCCAACACTGATCCGGATTGTACGTTATATTTTGTTTACATTTACACCTGTTGTTAAAACTCCAGTTGTATGCGTAAAAACACCAATTCCTCATCCAGTGTTTGTGTCCTTTTAACTGACATGAACTCGTCATCATCAGGCTGCTGGCAGTCCAGTTCTAACGGGAGTTATATCTCCGTGAATACAGTGTCTGTGAGTTGGTTTGGGTGCAGCCGACTGCGTCTCTGGCCACGTTTTGGTGAGCGTGTCTTCAGTGCGTCTTTACGCACACTTGGTTTTTATGTTTTGTCTGAGCAAAATGCGATTCCCTCAGACGCATGTTCGTGGAGTCAGGTGAAAAGGGGGTCCCAAAGAGTGCGACAAGTCTCTGTTGGACCCTTTGGCCCCCCACTTTGGCCCCCAGCTGTGGGCATCACAAAGTGTCCGAGCTGTTACTGCAGGGGCTGATCAGCGCCAGGTTGGTGGCCTTGTGCTTTTTCAACAGTCTCGTGATTTTCTCGTCGTCTGAATTTGGGTCCAGTGGTTTGTTGTACTCGTCGTCCTCCTCGTTATCCGAGCTCTCCTTCATCTTCTCTGTCTCAGAGTCGTGTTTCTTCTTGGCCGAGGCCATTTCTGCAGCGTGTCTCTTCCGCCATTTGGTTCTTCTGTTCTGAAACCAGACCTGTCGAGGAAGAAGAGACAGAGCATGTTGAGATGTTGAGATGCGCACAGAGGTTCAACAGGTCCAGATATAAGCAAGCCATCAAAGGCCCGAAGGCAGGAAACAGAAATGGTCCAATACTTCAAAGTAATCACAACAGGTGTAAATAATCCTGGATATACACAATTAACTGCAACAAAATAAAATAAAATAATAACAATAACAATAACAATAATAATAATAATAATAATGATAATAATAATAATAATAATAAGTAGGTTGTATGCAATTTTTCAGTAATTTCACAGGTTGCACAAAAGTGAAAGTGAAAGGCGGAATATTTTCTGCAGGTGTGTGACAGTGTTTACCTTGACTTGACTCTCGGTCATTCCTAAAGAGTAGGCCAGGCGGGCTCTCTCCGGACCTGCCAGGTATTTTGTCTGCTCGAAAGTTTTTTCCAGTGCGAAAATTTGCTGTCCTGAAAAAGTGGGTCTGGAGTGTTTCTTCTTGCCGTCCTTGTCCATCATTATGTTAGCCTGAGCTGGAGAGGGAGACACAAGGAGCTATGGTTATTTACAAAGTGGAAGTTAAACAGCTGTTTATTAATTATTCTGTTGTAGTAAATGTGATGCTCACATAAGTTAACACAGTAACGCAACTTCACGATTCACAATGAGTCACAATGAGCCTCAAACATGTCTGAGCAACATTTAACAATAACTGAGTTTACTGACCTGTTATTTACCATGGTGCCATTATAACTTTTAAGTAGTATTATTTTACAAGTTTGAAAGTCCTGCCAAGTGTGACATTAAGATTTAATCTTCTATTAGAACCTCTAGTGTCTGTGAGGCTCGACAGAGGCTTTATGGTGAACACGTAGAGCTTAATGGTCATTTGGCAAAGCTATAATATTTCCAAGAATAGATTTAGATTTTCTTTGATAAAATGTAATGTAATGAAATCTCGCCGTAAAATGTTTGTTTGTTTGCTGTGTTCAGTGACATTGCCTCTCACAGGCATAAATAATGTCTGAAATCACAAGACGAGCAACACACCTCAACAAAAACACAGAGCAGCCACAGAGGAGCCTTGGCTTTTTCTGAATTTATACAGTTATGCAAACTAACCGTAAAAGTGTATAAACAAACAGCCGGAGAGCCGTGACTTACTTGGACAGGGAACCCGCGGGTCCCTCCAGGGAGACCCCTGCATCACCCCGGGCCAGAAGATGGGCGCCCTCCCCGGCAGCTCAGCCAGGGGCTTCGGGTACCGCGACACCGCCGGGCTGAAGTACATCCCCGCTGCTGCGGCGGCTGCGGTGGTGGCCAGGCCGTTTATCCTGGGGAACCCGGACAGCAGCTGTCCGGCCGTGGTGATGGGTCTCCCCAGGATGTCGCTTATTCCGTGCGGAGTCCCCCCGGAGATCTGGGAGTTGAGGTTGGACAGCGTAGGTGCCTTGAAACTCGCCGGGCTCTGCTGCAGCGCGTACGGGAACAGGGACGTCTTCATCTCGGTCATGTTGTGCAACGCCGCCAGCGGGGTGCTGCCCAGGACAAAAGCACTCTGCCGGTTAGCCTCCATCTGCCCGACCGCTAACATTTGTGAACATGAACCACCAAACACGCTTGGATAAAAACGGGAAATAAAAATCAATTAACAGGAGAAAATAAAGGCGCAGAGCGGACCGGTGATATTCAGGAGCCAGACCACTTCTGTCGCCTTCTCAAAAAGTATCCGGGATGAGGAAGAAGACTCTTGAAATGTTAGAAAACTTGAGCAAAAGCGAACTTCTTCTCTCTTGGGAAGCGAAGAGCTCGGTCAAACTCCCAAAATGTCTTTCCCCGTGTTTGTTTTGGTCGGAGTGTGTCAGCTGGGAGGTGGCTGCATGCGCCCGCCACAAGAATCCTCGCGGAAGTCGGACGATCTGATGATGTTTTTAGTGGTTTTGATGGGAACCATTAAAGGGTCGGCTTCTCTTGCCATAAATTGACTCGCTCTATGCTGGGAGTGAAGCGGGACCAGCTGATAACAGCACAGCCACCTGCACGCGCTCTATTCCCATTGGACAGGGCTGAGTGAGACAGAGCCATGATTGGAGGAGACAGAGACTCCGCTGCTTCACAAGTGCGTCTTCGCTGGAACGATGGTGCCTTAAAGTGTTGTCGGAAATAGGAGTTTTTTGTTTAGCTACAATATAAAGGACCAAAATCTGAGCTTATCAGGACTGGCTGAATTTATTAATGATAGCGTATATAATGATTCATCATGTATTGTAAAGTGACGTTAGAAAAAATAAAATAACATAGTAGCCTATGTTATTAACCTAGCCTAACAAAGTTTTCCATATTTTTAATAATAATAATAATAATAATAATAATAATAATAGTTACATTTTATTTATAAGCCCCTTCAAGACACCCAAGGACAGTTTACAAATCAAAAGGGACATTAGATAGCTTACATAAAACAAGATTTGTAAAATAAAAATAAATTTTAAGCCTTTTATATTCTGTCTTTAATCTAGGCTGATGATGTACATTTTGTCCACTATATTTGATATACTGTTAACTGTGATAACTCTGAACTCTGTTAGTAGACTATTGTCAAGTAAAATCAATTGAATGTTGCTCCAAGCCGTAGCCTATTAAAACCTTTAAAACTGTGGAAGTCAGTCTTTTCAGAGGAGACCCTGAACGCATCAAGCAGCAACACTCTATTAAGATCTTTAACGCTGCTGTTAATGATGCGTCTCCCAACGTGGAAATCATTGTTTTCACATAAAACAAAGAATATACATTCACATTATGAGCTGTTTCCACAGACAATGACAGTGTATTTAAGTAGAAACTGAGGCCGGCGGCAATGAGGAGCGATTCTTTATGATTTTAGTGAATATGACGGAGACTGAAGATTAGATTTAAAATAATGTAGACCACAGTCCATGGGAATATAGCTCGATTCAACTTGATTTGTAGGTATTTTCAAATTGTTTTCAGTGGATATTTGTGTTATGATATTACGCGTTTAGGACTTTTCAACTAGTCAGCGTGTTTTTGTTTTTTTTTAAATTTCCTTTCAGGACAGTTTTGTCATTGATGTCGGTACTTTGGCGAATGAGGTTGGATAAAGTGAGTTATTCCAGCTCTTGTTGTAATTTGCCTTCGTCAAAGATTAGAGTTCAGTTTCACTCACTCAATCCCATTTTGCTGAAAAGCCTATTTCATGTTTTTCATCTGAAAGAACTAAAAAGAAGAAGAGCCACTGGCCTTTGGGATAAAACTGAAGTGGATCGTTTAAGAGCAGCCCACAGTGTTTAAAAGGACGGAGCTCGGTTATATGAGGGATATTATCAGTGTTTTTGAGATACAAACTGCGTTATTATGGTGAAAGCGTGTGAGAAAAAGCGCCAGGCTCCAGTCATCACTCTGAGTGCTGTAATATTTTATGGAGATGTGAGAAGGTTGTAAGAGTGAAATATGGCCACGTTAGCGTTTGAAAGGCTTCAGCAAATGCACCTTGCTGCCCATTTGCTCACCGGGGAAAGATTGTGCTTTTTAAAAGGTTTTCAACGCGAGGTGATTCACAATTTTGACTGTATTTCTCCAAGCGGAGGGGATGCAGCAGGCCACACACGTTTTCTAATTCTGTAAATGTCCCTCTATCTCTAATTTATATCCGTATATTTTCCCCTGATTATATACATTGATTTTATTATCTTGTTTTAAGAGCTTTCTAAAATGATCACTATAGGAGAAGCCATTGAAATAAAAAATATTCCGGCTTATATTTCTTGCAGCATGCACGCACCCGTTGCTCAATCTCCTTCGTCTTTGTAAAATGTCAGTAAGTTAAATACAGCAGTTAGTGGCTGACCCAGTGTGAGATCAATGACTGAAAGATTGGCACTTTCTCCAGTTCATCTCCAGCCAAAGACGAGAGCTGCCAAACAGCCCGTCACCGTAAAAAGATAATCGCAATTTAACATAATGAATTATTTGGATTTTTATCTCGTAAATTTACAACTAATTTAAAGTTTAAACCCTTAAACTCAAATTTGTTAAAGAAATAGACGTGGTGCAAGAAATAGATAGTGAGAGTCTTGATTGATTAAAAAAAAAAAAAAAATTAAACCAATGAAATAACATTTCTACGATTAAACACCAATATATTGACTGATCACACCGTGTCTACATTATTGTTCCTGAAATAATAAAAAACGTAATTAGCCTAATTATGGAAATAATAAAAATCAAAGTAAACAACTAGGCTACATAATAACAAAAACAATAATTATAATAATAATAGGCTAATAATAATAATAAATGGGACATTTTGATTTCATTATTATTTATGCATTAAATATTATTTATTATGTAAACCTGTTGCTCAGAGCGCTGAGTCCTTACACAGCAGTCTTGATTATGTAGTGAATTCTGTTATGATTTTTAATAATGGCTCGTTGGCCTGCTGATGGCGCGGACCACAGGCCTTTGTCCCACTACTGAAGAGAAATAGGTTAATAAACAGCGTAAAGATAATCTTATCTGAGTGTAACCTCGACACAAATGGGAATTGACAGAGCAGTGACAGGGCAGATAAGCAGATGTTTGGACAAAAAGACGTTTGTTGGAGTCACTAGATCTGCTTAGTCACCGAGGTGTCCAGCTGCTTCCACACCACTCAGTGTCTCTCTACCCCTTAAACAATTAGCATAGCTATATACATCAAAGACATACATGTAGATAATACACCTGATTTAAAAAGAACAAAGTAGGGCTCGACACTTAAATATAAAACCTGCCTTTTAAAAAAAAAAAAAAGAAAAAAAGAAAAAGACATAGGCCTAAATTTCACGAGCTGATCACTTGGACGGTTTCAGTAACGTTCTCATACTATCGAAAGGTTTTGCTTCTGCACACCCAGTGGAAAGTCAAATGAACGATAATGGACTAGAAGCCTTTCAAACTTGTGGTTGCATGTAAATGAGTCAGTGCACACAAGATCGACATGATAACATGTATAATTTGGCCAGGAGCGCCCTCTAGTGGCACAACAATAAACCAACCTATATGAGCTGCACAGAGTATCTCGGTCAACACAGATACTTTATAAAGCTCAGAGGTGCTTTAAGCAATGCTACTATTTTGAAACAATACTGGCAATGAGCTGATCTACAGCTTCATGAAAAGACCAATGTCCAGACAAAGAAAAAATGTAGGCTACTGTATATAACTATGTGATATGGTGAATCTCCCCAGAAAGAAATGTCAGATAAACAGAAATGTCTGCAGTTTGAAATCAAGTCAAGAACAGTGTGAGGGTTAAGGCCCCTGACACAATCTGAACATCCAAGTTTTCCTTATCACGAAAACTGTTGCATCTCAGATGTTTGTCAAGAATGAAAAGTGTCCAAAAGAAAAAAAAGAAACTCCCAACACCAGAAAACAAATCAAAGAAAAGAAAATGATCTGCTGAGTACAAGAGTGCAGTACATTATACATATATATAAACACTATAGCACTAACTCTGTATATAAAGTTTCACCAAAACCTCAGCTGAAATCAATCATAATTACATTTTTTTCCATTTTCCTCTATTGTCATTTATTTGAAGCACCAGGTCAAATATCAGAGGATTACAAAGTTGGTATACTTTAAAATGAAATCTTTACAAACTACTAATTAACCAAATTTATGTCTGAAACTCCAATATTCTTTATTATTTCCTCTCCAATATAACATCTTATTCTGCTTTCCAAAGAGTTGAAGGTAATTCACTTACTTAGTGAATCAGAGTAACTGTACTCCCATTGCAATCCGTTTACCAACACATCAGTACATCAGTCACGCTCATGGCCTTAGTAAGTCTTACTGTCACCAATTAACAGGAGATTCGCAATACTTATTTGTTGATTATTATATCTAGTTAAGGCCAAATACTTTTTGTATTAGAAACTGTCATTAGTAATAATAGTTATGTGAGCATGTTCACCACTAGAGGCACTGTAATGCACCACCGATTGCGCATCCTCCTGTTTCAAAATAAACAACAATATTTATATTTGTCAATATTTTCAATATTGCCCAAGTTTAACAACCAAACTCTTCATCTTGAAATCACACGGACAGTCTTGTGGTCTGAGAATCACAATCTCAGGCAATTTATGTGTGAAAAAGATGTTTAAAGCAGCTCTTTGTGAGTTTTGCTATCGCTAAATAGCCAGCGTTAGCAGCTAACAGGTGTTTCCCTACCGGTTGCCAGGAGCTTCATCCTCTGAGCAGCGCTGTTTATTTAGGGCAGACCGGACAGTGGATGCTACAGTGACACACAAGGTAGCTGGTTAGCATGCTAACTTCTAAAGGAAGAAAAGTGATCGAAATAAAAGCAAAATAAGAGTTAACATTGGTGTTGCTTTCCACCTCTGGAGACAGCTTTTGATGGGTAAAGGAATGAAGTTTGATGCTGAACTCGCAGTGTTTCCTCTAGACTGGTAAGTAAACAGCTGCTAATGCTAACGTTAGCTATGTAGAGGTAGCAAAACTTAACAAATAGCTCTTAGTACCCTGGTTCCAGACCGCAGAATAGCTGGTATCAAAAGGACTACAGTGGCTCAGATGAACCATGACTATCTAGCAGTGGTTCCAAACCCTATCATGGCCCCCTCTGGAGACCCAAACAACACTCACGTGCATTGATGGCATTTTTATCACCAGGTAACAACACCAGTAAACCTAGTAAGATTGGATTTACTTGGAGAATATTATACCTACCTGAATCCTCATATCCTGACTTCTGCTTCTCTATCATTCCCACTTCGACTTCATAGCAATAAAGCACACCTGGCACTAATTATCACTAATTATGACTTTGTTCCAGCAGTTATTGCAATACAGTGACATAATCAGTGATGTTATTAGTGACACCTGTGTTTGACTGGTCAAAATATCTGCTGTTAAAAAAAGGTCCATCCAACTTT